GTAGAGTAGAGTAGAGTAGAGTAGAGTAGAGTAGAGTAGAGTAGAGTGTAGAGTAGAGTAGAGTAGGGTAGGGTAGGGTAGGGTAGAGTGGAGTGGAGTAGAGTAGAGTGTAGAGTAGAGTAGAGTGTAGAGTAGAGTAGAGTAGAGTAGAGTAGAGTAGAGTAGAGTGTAGTGTAGTGTAGTGTAGTGTAGAGTAGAGTAGAGTAGAGTAGAGTACAATACAATACAATACAATACAATACAATACAATACAATACGAAATAGAAATAGGAGACATTGGAGGTCTTCTAGTCCATCCCTCTGCTCAGGCAGAAAATTATAGTGCCATTTCAGACAAATGGTTGTCCAATATCTTCTTCAAAACCTCCAAGTTGTAGGGTTGGAGCCCCACAATTTCTGAAGGCAACCAGTTCCACTGATAAATTGTTTTCACTGTCAGGAAATTCCTCCTTAGTTCCAGGTTGCTTCTGTCCTTGATGAGTTTCCCTCCATTGCTTCTTGTTTAGCCTTCAAGTGCATTGGAGGATAGCTTGACTCCCTCTTCTTTGGGGCAGCCCCTGAGATATTGGAAGACTGCTATCATGTCAACCCTAGTCCTTCTTTTCACTAGACTAGACGTACTCAATTCCTGCAACCCTGATCATCTTTGTTGCTCTTCTCTGGACCTTTTCCAGAGCCTCGACATTTTTTTTTATATAACACAGTGACCAAAACTGGGTACAATATTCCACGTGTGGTCTTACCAAGGTCTTATAAAGCGGTGCTATATTTTGAATTGATGCTTGTTTTCCTTTCCTTTTTTTTAACCAAATTAAAATCTGAAAAGCTGAGCTTTCGCGAAGAGGTGTATTGCGTGGGTAATGCCCACCTGTGACGGGTGTTTTTGCTTTTTTAAAGTAAAATTTGAAAGGGCGTTAAGGTACAGTGCAGAATTGTGTTTTGTTTGGGTTCGTCTTAGCTTGCTCAGTAGATTCCCTTTTTCTCAGAAATGGTTTACTTTGCCTTCTTCTGGTCTGCCGTTTTCACTTCCCGATCTAGTCTGCAGCCTAAAATCTATGAACCAGCCCCAATCCTGCTTGGCTGTTTTGAGATCAGCCAAGCTTGAAGGGATATTATTACTCGATTTTTGGTAAATGAGTTCCTGAAACAGAGTTTCCTTTAGCTGTTTGTTTGAATGACCGGCTGTTAAGAAATTCAAGAGAATTTTCCCTAGTGAAGATAAATTTAGGGGTTTTTTCTTTGCTGATCTGCCTTGCAAAGAATGTTCCTGTCGGTATGTGCTCCTTTCAAAATCCAAGAAAGAAATACTCAGACTCCATGGTTCAGAGCAAAGTTCTTCTTTTACTGGAAGATGAAAAGGAAGCTACAAATGGAATTCCGAAAGTGAGAATTTGGCGCGCAGATCACACATACAAAGAAATGGAATTGTTCCCACCCCCCAAAGTCCAGAAGTCTCTGCCAATTAAAAGTTCCGAATATGATCATGTGAGCATCTTCAGGTAGTGATGAGGCCTCTGTCCGTTGACCTTGACATATTTTGATAAGACCTCGCAGCTGCGCAAAAAGGATAGAGGCTAGGAAAGAAATGGAAAATTGGAAAGAAGAAATCCCCCCCCTTCTTCTGCCCACAGTAAAAGAATGCAAAACACCTCCAGCTCTCTTCCCCCCCACAATTACCCCTCCCCCCCGTTGCTAATGACAGCCGAAAGAAGTAAGCCTAGTAGTAGAGATACTAAGGGAGAAATAAAGGATAATAGTTGGGGTACCCGAAGAGATCTTGAGGCTGACAGTTCCATAGCATGGAGAGATGGAGTTACCGTGCTGCTAGATTCTTGCTCTCTGTCTAATTTTGCTGAGCCTTGAAAGAGCACTAGTCCTTAATTTAACAGCTACTCATTTAGTGACCAAAGTTACAACTGCTTTGAAAAAAATTGACTTATGGCCGTTTTCAAATGACTGTTTGCAGCTGTTCCTGTGATCAAAATTCAGATACTTGGGCAACGGGGTTCATTTTTATGACGGTCATGACGGGATCCATTTTGCAACCTTCTGGCGAGCAAAGTCAACGGGGGAAGCCGGATTTCACTTAACAACCCTGTGGCTAACTTAACGATGGCAGTGGCTCGCATAACAACCGTGGCACAAGAAGAGTCGTAAACTGGAGCAAAGCTACACTTAACAGCAGCGGTCTTGCGTAGCAATGGAAAAGTGTAGGCTCCTATTTGCGGCCGTCAGTTGAGGACGACCTGTATTGCAGGGGGAGGCAACTATGGCGACTGGATGACCCGTGGACTTCAACTCCCAGAATTCCCAGAGCCGGCATGAAGGCCTCAGTTTTTCAAATCGCCGTAGTTGTTCACCCCGGGGAATATTAGCATGAGTTTGTCTGAATTTTTCGCTCGCCGCTTGCAGAGGTGGGTGATCCTTTTTGGGACAGTGTGTCATCTATATATATAGTGTACAGCACTGCAGGGTTCTAGATCAGGGGCCTTCAACCTTTTGGGCACCAGGGACCAATTCCGTGGAGAGAGGTTTTTCCGTGGACCGGACTGGGCAAGGTTTTGGGGTGCTGTCTGCACCCCATGGATGGGGCTTGGCTTGCTTGCGTGGCCTGGTTTGTGGCATGTTTGTGACCAGGGGCTGGTCCCAGACCAGCAGTTGGGAACCCCCTGTACTACATCAGGGGTGTCAGACTCAAGGTCTGCAGGCCAGATGTGGCCTGCGGGGTGCTTAGCCTTGAAAACAGCCTGGCCCGCAATGCTCTGGGCTCAGTTTTTACTGGCAGCGGGCGAGGAAAATTAAATTAAAAGCAAAACCAAAAAAAGGAGAAATGTTTTCCCTTTGGCATTTGAGCATCCAAGAAGGGACAGGAAAGTAGAAAGGGAAAGAGGAAAGAAAAAAGAAAGATGGGAAGAGAGCAAGGAAGGAAAAAGAAGGGAAGGAAGAAGAAAGAATGAAGAGGAAAGGAAAAAGAAGGAAAGGAAGGAAAGATGGGAAAGAGAGCAAGGAAGGAAAAAGAAGGAAAGAGGAAAAGAAGGAAGGAAAAAGAAGAAAAGGGAGGGAGGAAAGGAAGGAAGGATCCCCCCCAGCCCTTCCCGCCACCACCTGTGCCCCCAACATGAGTGGCCCTGCCCCACACACCTCGTAAACACCCCCCCCCAGGTCAAACACAATCCTGATGCGGCCCTCAATGAAATCAAATTTGACCCCCCTGCTCCAGTGTAACTGTTCCTTTAGTCTCTGGATCTGAAGGGCAGAGTTGACGTAGAAGAGAAATTGAACATGAATTCACCTCTTAAGTGTGAACCCTGCTGCTCCTGTGTGTGATACACCTGATTCGTCTGCAGGAGTCAAACTTTGGAATTAACTGTAATTTTAATCGAACTTATTGGAGCACCTAAGCGACACTGAAAATAGCAGGGAAAGGGGAGCGAGAGAACTGTGGGATAAAGGGGGGGAAAATAACATGAACTTCCAACTCTTCGGTGCAGTAGAATGAACATAGTAAGTTTGCAGTCTCAACTTTTTACTCATCTTCCATGTATAGTAATCACTTCTTTTTTAAAAAAAAAAAACACCTCTGATCAGTAAATCCCCAAATCAGAGTTTCATTTTTGTCTGCTTCAGGCACACACAAAAAAAAATATCTAGAAGCAGTTTCCAGATGGGTACGAAATTAGGCCTGGATTCTTCTCTTCAGTTAGAACAATTTGACCACCTCTGCTAGTTCCACCCGTTACTCTTTTGAACACCTCGCTTATAATAAGGATCTCCGAGAGCGTCTCTGGATATTATCACACAAGTCTCCAAAACAGATGCAACGGCTTTCATTTTGCTTCTGTTTTCCACTTACAGAATAACAGAGTTGGAAGGGACCTCGGAGGTCATCTAGCCCAACCCCTCCACCCAAGCAGGAGACCCTACACTAGTGATGGCGAACATTTTTTGGTACCAAGTGCCCAAACTGGAATGCGCGTGCATGTGTGCACGCCGGAGTGCCGGAAATCCAAATACCAGCTGGCTGACGCACACGTGGTTGTTTTGGGGGCATTTTTGCTGTTTCTGGGGCCATTTTTGGGGCCACTTCAGGCCGTTTTTCAGGTTGTTTTGGGGCCGTTTTTCGAGCCATTTTCGGGGCCGTTTCAGGGCCATTTTTGAGCCATTTTCTGGACCATTTTTCAGGCCGTTTTCAAGCTTTTTTGAGCCATTTTCAGGCTGTTTTGGGGTAGTTTCTGCCCCCCTGGCCTGAAAACAGCAAAAAATGGCCCCCAAACAACCTGAAAATGTCCCAAAACCAGCCTGAAAAATGGCCTTTATTTTGGCTGTTTTTCGGGCCATTTTCCGGCACTCCGCCACCTGCGAACACCACCTGGCCAGTGCGCATGTTAGCAGCCTAAAACCCGAAGAGCAGTGCCGACGGTGCGTGCGCCCACGGAGAAGGCTCCGCATGCCACCACGGGCACACGTGCCACAGGTTCGCCATCCAGGCCCTGCCCCATTTCTGACTGATGGCAACCCAGCCTCTTCCATCGAGTGCCCCCCCCCGCCCCCCAAGTACGCTCACCTAGGCGGGTCAGTGGGGTTTCCCTTCCCCTTCTAAAATGTCCGTAAATATCCTCTCCTGGACTCCGAGGTTTCTTCAATCCTCCCCTTGGCAGCCCCCTGAAGCCCCGGCCCTAAGCTGCTTGGCGTGACCTTCTAAATCTCTCTGTTTTCTTTCCATAGCTTAGATACCAGCACGGGCTGGGGACTCCAGATTTAAGGCAGACCCTTCCCAACCTGAAAAACTTCCTGGAGCACGGCCTCATGATTAGATGGTGAGTAGCTCTGTTTTGCTTTGCACGACAGCGCGCCTAGCCTTCGACTTCACGACCACCCAACCGGAGCAGTGGCGAGATTCAGATTTTTTTTTTAACCGCTGGTTCTGTGGGCGTGGCTCGGTGGGCGTGGCTTGGCTCGGTGGGCATGGCAGGGGAAGGATACTGCAAAATCCCCATTCCCTCCCCACCCCACTAACCTGCTTTCCAGCTCGCAGGGCAACCAAAGAAGACCCAGCCAATCAGCTGGGACTCAATGGGAGGCGGAGAATAGATGGGGGCGGGGCCAGTTAAAAGTGGTCTTTGTTGTAGTAGCGGACTACTCCAAATGTCCGCTACCGGTTCCGCAGAACCGGCTGAATGCCACCTCTAATCTGGAGGAAAAAGGGACTTAACGACTGTCACACGATCGAAATTTGGATGCTCAGGCATCTATTTATGACCGTCACGATGTCCTGGGGTCATGTGATCGCCATTTGAGACCTTCCCAGTTGGCTTCTGACGCTTCAAAGTCAGTGGCGGGAAGCCAAGATTCGCTTAATGACTTGCATAACAAACCGCAGGGATTTAAAGTTGTAAAATGAAGCACCACTTACTTTAACAACTTCCTGTGGAAGTTCCGGTCCCGCTCGTGGTCATAAAGTCGAGGATTACTCTTGCACGGATAGCCCCACACTTACGACAGTTCATTCAGCGACCCAACCCAAGTTACTGCGGCATTGGAAAAAAAAAAGTGACTTGTGAGCCTTTTTTCACAACCTTTGTAGCATTTCCCCATGATCGCGTGATCAAAATTCAGACGGGTGGCTGCCGGTTCATACTTACGACAGTTGGCTGTGTCCCAAGGTCACGCGATCCCCTTTTGCGACCTTCGGATGAGCAAAGTCAATGAGGAAGCCCAATTCACTTTAACAGCCGGGTTCCTGACTTATCAATTGAAAGCGACTCACTTAACGACTGCGGCAAGAAAAGTAGTACAACGGGGCAAAACTCACATATGTTTTCACATTTCCAATATAAATTTTGGGCTCAATTGTGGTCATAAGTCGAGGACTTCCTGTGGCGGATAAAGTAGCTAAAGATTAACCTTTTTCCCAGAAAATACAGTTTATGGGGAAATGGGCAATTCCTTGTGCTGTCTTTCTTACCGAAGATGCTCTTGTTGACGGACCTTCGGCCCAGGTCACTTATGATGATAAAGGCTCATTTTGCTCTCATCCAGGAATGGCTTTTGTTAAAACAGATTTTTTTTAACCGAGTCAAAATACCCCTGACTTGCTTAAAGCTCCCTGTAAGGCATGAAATCCGGAGAAAAAGAGGCCGTCTTTTTTTTTTTTTTTTCTTAAATGAAACTTTCACTCGGAGGCAGGCAGACATATATGGCTGCATTCTTAATTAAGGCTAGCAAAAAACAGAAAACGTGTTTTTCTTTGAACCCTCAAAAACAATCACATTCCAGATCCGCCATAGATTAGGAAAACCATAACTATGTAGTCCGTGTTCGCTACTCTGGGTTTGGGCCAATAGAAAAACCCATGGAGTAATTTCACTCTCATCGGTAGAACAAGGCCGATCCGTGTTCTCCCCGCTTCTCCTTCGGCCCACTCCCCATTTTTCCCCCCCCCCCCTCCCCCCCCCCCCCTCAATTCCTTAGCCTCCCCATGGCTGTTGCCCATATGCTGGGCCTTTTTTTAAAAAAAAATTCTCTGCTTTAAAGGACCACATTTGCTTCCACATACAGACCAAACCAGAGCCCATCGAAATGGCTGGTGTGATCTGCTGTCGTCGGGGTGGGTGGAAGTTGGGTGATTCCCCCCCCGTCCCCCCATATTTTGTTCTGTTGTACTTTATCAATTTATTTGATTGTTATTTTTTTTTTAATTTTTGTTTTAAATATGGTATTACATTGTGTAAGCCATGGGCTCACCATGGGCGAATAGGCGGCAATATGAATGGAATGGAATGGAATGGAATGGAATGGAATAGAATAGAATAGAATAGAATAGAATAGAATAGAATTCAGGAATAGAATTCAGGAATAGAATAGAATAGAAATCCTTATTGGGAATAGAATAAAAATCTTTAGAATGGATCAGAATAGCATAGAATTCAGGAATAGAATAAAATCTTTATTGGGAATAGAACGGAAATCTAGAGAAGAGAAGAGAATGGAAGAGAGAATAGAAAGGAATAGAGAATAGAATAGAGAATAGAATAGAATAGAGAATAGAAAGGAATAGAAGAGAATAGAATAGAATTCAGGAATAGAATAAAAACTTTATTGGGAATAGAACAAAAATCTATAGAATAGGAATAGAATAGAACAGAATAGAATAATAATAATAAAATAATAAAAATAATAAAATAAAATAATAATATAATAATAAAATAATCATAATAAAACAATATAATAAAAGTTTCATCAAGATCAAGAGCTGCTGCTTCCTGCTCGAACCGGTTTGTACAGGTCGCCCTCAACTTAATGGCCACAATGGAGCCCAACATCTCTGTTGTTGAAATAAGACATTGGTGAGTTTTGCCCCGTGTTAAGACTTTCCTTGCCACCGTTGTTAAGTGAATCACTGCAGAGAATAAGTTATTAAGTGAATCTGTCTTCCCCAATGACTCTGCCGGTCAGAAAGTTGCCAAAGGGAATCATGTGACCCCAAGACACTGTGACCGTCGTAAATACGAGCCACTTGCCAAGCATCAAGAAGCCACGGGTGAAGAGAGGCAACCTAGAACTAAGGATAAATTTCCTGACAGTTAGAACAATTAACCACTGGAAGAGCTTGCCTCCAGAAGTTGTGGATGCTCCAACACTGGAAGTTTTAAAGAAGAGATTGGACAACCATTTGTCTGAAATGCTATAAGGTTTCCTGCCTAAGCTGGGGGTTGGACTAGAAGACCTCCAAGGTCCCTTCCAACTCTGTTACTCCTATCTGAATTTGGATCACGTGACTATGGGGATACTGCAAAGGTCATAACTATGAAAAACGGTCATAAGTCACATTTTTCAGTGCCATTGTAACTTTGAATGGTCACAAAAAAGGAACAGTTATAAGTCAAGGACTATCTGTCCTTCTCTAGTTTTAATCGTGCTTTTTTTTACTTTGCTCTATATGGCTTTTGTTTTTGTTTCTATATAATTCCTGGTGGGGATCATTTGCTAGAGAGAGAGAAACAGGCAAGAAAATCCTGATGAAAGAAGCTTTGTAATAATATATATAATTAAATATAAATACAATACAATACATAATAATCATACTGATGTGGGCCATTATAAGTGACCAAAAAATAATGATTTATTTTTTTAAATTAATAGAATAACAGAGTTGGAAGGTTAACCTCCTGCTGAAGCAGGAAACCTTATACCGTTTTAGATAAATGGTTGTCCAGTCCATTCTTAAAAGCCTCCAGTGTTGGAGCACCCACAACAAGCTGTTCCACTGATTAATTGTTCTCACTGTCAGGAAATTCCTCCTTAATTCCAGGTGGCTTCTCTCCTTGGTGAGTTTCCACCCATTGCTTCTTGTCCTGCCTTCTGGTGCTTTGGAGAAGAGCTTGACTCCTTCTTCTTTGGGGCAGCCCCTGAGATATTGGAACCCTGCGATCATGTCTCCCCTAGGCCTTCTTTTCATTAGACTAGATATAACCAATTCTGGCAACCGTCCTTCATACGTTTGAAAATATTTTATCCACGCTAGATAAGGTCTGTGCTGCTAATTACGCTCTTGAAAGACTGTTTGCCAGGCCTTTGGCTCAATGCGAATGCAAGAAATCCACCTTCGTTTAATAAGAGGGGTTTTGCCCTGGACAAAGAATCTGCTTGGTGCTTTTGGGGGAAGCCTCGATCAGAAGAGAGAGAAGCTTTAAGGATTCGGCAAGATTGCCAGGCAGGTTGTTTAAATCTCTCTTATTCAAAGGCCCGACCACGTTCCACATCTGGCCAACTCAAATCTTCAGCCGGTATCGATCAGAAATCATAAAACCGACCTTCTTCATCCCACCGACCGACAGATCGCTTGCAGCGAAGACAACGGTGGGGATTGATTTGAATTTGGAGCCTAAATTTTACTGCCAGAAACCGTGCCGAATAAACCAAGCCTTGAATCTCCTGTGACTAATTATGTGTAGATTCTTAAAAGTCAGGCTGGGGGCTTCAGTGGCATTTTAACTTCAAACATGAATCAAGTTTCTGTCCCGCTGCCAAGAATCTTTTTTTTTTACGGTTGTGGCGGGATATGAATGTGAGCAATAAATTAAAAACATACAGATATGGGTTTTTTTTTTCCCCCCGAGGTGGGTGTTCCAATTAGCAGTTTAATCCTTATTAGGATGAAAGGGACCTCAGAGTCCTTATGCAAACTCAGCAGCTCCCGTATTCTTAGGTCGCCTCTTATAGTCCCTGGATTCTCCAGAACTCTGGTTGAAGACTTGAAGCGTGGGAGAATGAGCAGGAAAACCCGGTTTTTATTGGACGGCCAAATCCTACCTTCTAGAGGATTTTAATTTTCTGGGTTAGAAAAAAGCCAAATGTTAAGAGCTTTGGGACCGAAGTCAAAGCAACTCAAGACACCTGGCTTCGTGATGGAAGGGGATAAATTAATATCTGAACAGAACTTGAGTTGTCCTTGGTGTTTCCCTGAGCTTGGTGGTTTTCTTGCAGACGTTTTATTACCCAGCTAGGTAACATCGTCCGTGTTAAAAGGGAGCCTAACCAGAGCCTAATCGGGGAACCTCCCCCCCCCCCAAAAAAACACTAACCCTGACAGTGCAAGACATTGAATATAAACAGAGAGCAAACGGTACTTCCTTCTAGCACTGATGATGTTACCTAATTGAGTAATGAAATGTCTACAACAAAACCGCCAAGCTCAGAGACAACCAATGTCAGCCTTGGGTCAACTCTGAGCTACAAATAATTCTCTTCTGTTAGCATTTTAGTTCCATCTCTGATCAGAAATAGAGAATGCAGAGCCCTCTGGCTTCAAGTACAATAGTCTACAATAAGTGTGGACTTGCGGTATATATGACACACATGGGATTTGAAAGCTTTAAAGTTATCTGGAACTCAAGTAAAGTAGTTGTGTGTTCCCTAATGTTGAATACCTGGCTAAGGAGGAAACAGCCTCTATCTGTTTTGGTCACTTGTTTCATTATAACTTAATCATTAAACAAGTAAGCAAGAGTTGGAAGGGACCTTGGAGATCTTCTAGTCCAACCTCCTGCTCCGGGAGGAGACCCTAGACCACTCCAGATAAATGGCTGTCTAGGGTCTTCTTCAAAGCCTCCAATGATGGAGCATTGATCACTTCTGGAGGCAAGTTGTTCCACTGATGAATTGTTTCTAAGTGTCAGGAGATTTCTTCTTAGTTCTAAATTGCTTCTCTTCTTGATTAGTTTCCATCCGTTGCTTCTTGTCCCGCCTTCAGGGGCTTGGAGAATTTCTGAGTTTCAGCACGGCCTCAAATCAGCTCTCTACACCCTGTGCAGATCAATACTTCAGCCGTAGGGTTATCTGCAAACCTCCCAAACTATTTACAGGAAGGGTGTCAAACTCAAAGTCCAGAGGCCAGATTCAGCCTGCGGGGTGCTTAGATCTGGCCCGGGAGGCCGGCCTGGATACAGAGAAGGGCTGGCCCGCAATGCCTCTGCCAGAGAAAATGGACCTCAGAAGGGCTCTGTGTGTGGCACTCCCAAGCTCCGTTTGCACTGGTAGGGGGTTGTAGGAGGCCATTGCAGCCGAAAACTGAGCTTGCAAAGGCCGCCTCGAGCTCTGTTTTTCACTAGCAGAGGGTTGCGGGACTCCGTTGCAACCCAAAATGGTGCTCAGGAACTCGTTTTCAGTGCCAGAGAGCTCAGGCCATCACAGGTGCTCCTGACCTGAGTGACATTGAGCTGGCCACACCCACCATGGTCATGCCCCCCCTCCCAGCCCCCCCCAAGGTCAAACACAACCCTGATACGGGATTGTGCAACCTCAATGAAATCGTGTTTGATATCCCCTCGTTTACAGAGAATGAATCTGAATAGCAGATCTGGGAGGGGGAGGTCTTGTGTTTCTCCGGGGTTCTCGGTAGCCCTCTGAAAGTTGCACAGCTCTTCCTCGAAGGCCCGCTGATTTTAACCCTCTTTCTCCTATTCCTTTCCAGTGATCGTCACCACGTTTCCAGCGCCATCCCCGTTCCAAAGAGACAAAGTTCAGCATTTGGGGGTTTGGATGTTGGCTTTTCTGGCAACCACCCATCTCCGGACAAGGGTCTTCGCAAACGGGCTAACTCCGAGAACGAGAGACTGCTGCACAAGTCCCAACTTCCGAGTCACAACTCAGCTTTCACCCAGCCCATCGCGGGAGAGGCGGAGAAAACGGCGGTCTCCTTATCCTCCTCCTTAGATACCTCCATTGACCTCTCGAAAGAGAGGAGCAGAACGGGGGAGGATTCGCGGCTCGGCGTCAACGGCGAGAACAGGAGCTCGAGCGGTTGCCGGAACCCTCCAGCTTCTCTCCGGGGACCTTCACGGGCCATCAACGGCCTCCCGTTCTCCAGCGAGCAGCCTGGGACCGCCGCTCGCGAGCGGCCCAGCATCTTCTGCGGCGCGCTGGGTGCCGAGCTGCTTTGTACTGTGGAGCAGGCGGAAGAGATCATGGGCCTGGAGGCCATGGGCTTCGGTTCGGGAGACCAGCTTGCAGCTTTCAACTACATCCCGGTGGATCACGCGGTGGCCGTGGAGTGCGACGATCAAGTGCTGGGGGAATTTGAGGAGTTCTCCCGTAGGATCTACGCCTTGAACAAGGACACCCCCACGTTCCGCCGGCCACGGAAAGGCTCCGATAAGTAGCAGCCAGCTGCGGGTCGCCGAGAGGAAGTTATCCGGAGCGGAGATAAAACTTGCACGCGTACTCCCGATCCGTTGCGCTAGGGAGGATCTTCAAACATGGCAACTTGCAAGACAGGTGGAGTTCAACTCCCAGAATTCTTCCAAGTTGCTAAATTTGGAGAGCCCCGAGTTACGGGGTAGGAGGATGGTAGGGGAGAAATTTGCTATGGTTTTGGAAGGAAGTGCCGAAGATCTCCCTCAACGACCACGTGGGTCATAATCTGCTTCTTCCCCCCCGCCCTCCATCATAAACCCTTCCCTCCCCGGAATTTTTAATCCTCACAAAAATTTCTTTGGCAATTCTTGGTCTTTTGCGTTACTGGTTCCCTGCTTCCCCCTCAAGTTTTATTATTTCCATCCTTTCAGGAGAAATTAGGTCAAGATTTTGCCGGCTTACCAGCAAGGCTGTGCGTATCTTCTCTCTTGTGTTCTCGACTGCTTATTGCTTTCAGCCAGGCCTCGCAGCTTTCTGGTTGAGAGGCACACAAGAGTGTTTGTGTTGTTGTTTTTCTTGGGAAGCGTCTGATACAATGGTAGGAAGACCTGGCACTCAGGAAGCCTGGGTAGAACTCCCAGTCCTGGGCCTCTTTCCTTATTTTTTTTCCTTCCTTCCTTCCTTCCTTCCTTCCTTCCTTCCTTCCTTCCTTCCTCCCTCCCTCCCTCCCTCCCTCCCTCCCTCCCTTCTCCTTCTCATTTCTTCCTTCTTCCTCTACTCCTTCTTCTTCCTTCCCTCCCTTCTTCTTTTCCTCCTCCCTTGTCCTCATTCCTCCCTTCCTCTCTTATTCCTTCTACCTCTCCCTTTTCCTCCTTCCCCCCCTCAACGATAGGAAGATCTGTCACTCAGAAAGCCTGGGTAAAATTCCCAGGCCTGGGCCTCCTCTTGTTTTTTTTCCTTCCTTCCTTCCCTCCCCTCCTCTTTTCCTCCTCCCCTACTTCCTTCTCCCTTGTCCTCATTCCTCCCTTTTTTCTTCTCCTTCTCCATTTTCCTCCACCTTCACCTTCACCTCATTCTTCCCCTCCCCCCCTCCCTCTTTTCCTCCTCCCCTTCTTCCTTCTCCCTTGTCCTTCTCCTCATTCCTCCCTTCTTTCTTCTCCTTCTCCATTTTCCTCCACCTTCACCTTCACCTCCACCTCATTCTTCCCCTCCCTCCCTCCCTCCTTCCAATCTAACAATCCCACGCCTGCCCCAGGATAAAGAGTGGGACTTGCCCAAACACCCCGTGGACATCCCACGTCCTTCAGAGGGTGATGATGTGCCAGAGAGACGGATCATTGGATGGCTCCTTTTGCTGCCAGGAATAAACCGAACTATGCTTTCCGTGTCGCCCTGGTCTTAACTCCCCTGCGATTAAGGAGCTTTCTCAGTTTCAGGAATAAAATCATGTCTCGCTTTGAAGAAGTAGCCGACTATGCACAGACATCCTTCTCGGAGTGCCTCACGGAACCACAGACCCTTTAACAAACAAGCCCGCGGTCGCACGGCTATTCTTAGTCTTCTTATTGTTATAACCATTAAGATGTTTCTCCATTATTTCAACCTCAGTCCAACAGCGAAGCAGTTTACAAACACCCAAGCCAGGCTCTGCACACGTCAACCCTCCTCCCCTCTTGTGTGCACGTACACAACGCGCCCAGCGCGAATGATTCGGGGTTACCTGAATTGAATGGCATCGTCCTCTCGGGAAGACTTTTTCGAACCATTTCAACCCCCCGCCCCTTTTTTTAAAATAAATAAATTAAAACACAGGAAACCAACCAAACCACCCCTACTTTTTAAAATTGGAATCGTCTTCAACGGTTGACCAACAGGGCAAATTTTAAGTTCAGGTGAGGTAGTTCCCGACTGCACCACGAGTGGATTTTCTGGCCTGAAGGTCTGCCTTTTTACGGGGTCCAATAAGCCTTGCTTTTGCTTTCTACATTGTATATCCAAGTCTGGGCTCGGCCGAGAGCCCATCAATATAAATATGTATGGCAGAATAAAGATTTAATTTACTTCCCGGCTGACGGGTGCTTCTTTCCCCTCCCCCCACATTTTACTCGGTCCCTACACCTCTTGTTACATCCTCCAACCCCCCAAACTCAACTTTAACCTCAGACTATCCACTATTGACCTCACCCCATTCCTAAGAGGTCTGTGCATAAGGGCACCATCGTGCCTCCCGTCCCTGTCCTATTCTCCCCGTTTATTCGTCCCTATTTCCTGTATCCTTACTC